AGCAATCTCACTGCCATAGAACGAACGCATTTATTTTTATCCAATAAATATTAACTCCCAATTAACTACTACATTCACTAAGATTAGCACATTCAAGTGACTAAACTAAGACATTAGACAGCAGTAAAAACTATGAACCTATAGAAAGACCAATAGTTGAGTGTGAAGGAGTGGATTGTGTGGGATTGTAATAAACGTTGTCACGTTAACTTAATGTATTACAGACCCGAATAATGATCACTATTTCAGCACTGAGCCAATATATTTTCGTAACTTAAGGCAGACTTCTATCGCGTCTCACTCCATCTACCAGTCAATCACAGTTTTTACTCCTTTGCTCTCTGATCATGGAACTCGGGTTAACTTTTATGGCCAACACAACATACATACACTACATGCTGGTAGCAGATTCTTAGCTTTCCAGAATTTAACTTGCTTTCACATACACGACATAATGAGACGAAGTCATTAAATGATGTTATATAGTGTATTTTCACTAACAAATCTGGGACACAGCGGTAGCGTCTCTAAATTGGCCGCGGTTTTTCAGGTGACCGGATCTAATAATGCTTTCGAATACACCACAGGTTTCCACAATAACTGATCATAACTCATTGATGGAATAGAGCTATCCACAATAATGAGGAGAATGAGTAACTAGAGATGGTCTTCTCTAATTGCTCTCAGTAACATCAAAAATACGGTCGGAAACGAACCCAAGGGCGATTAGAAAATCCATGGCGGCTGTTACATTCATTTCTATCTAAAAACGCCCATTCCGGTTTCTGACATCGAAAACTAATACTCAAAACAAAAAATGGATTAATATTTTGTCAGATAAAAATATAAACATGCCTAAGAAAATACGCTGACCTGAGTCGCAGTGGTAAAAACCATGAAGATAAATTTGATCCGAAAAAATTGGCGCCAGCACTTAGGTTATCATTTAAATTGAGGAATTTCAGAACACTATAAGAGTAAGTTATGCAGTGAAACCAAAGGGCTACCGAAAAATCATATGTGGAGGCAAACCAAAAGCCATTGTTTATTAAGACGGCGGAAATTACAATTTCCCTTTCATTCTAATTATTCGCTAAATAGACTGCCAAAATTACGAACCGGAGTTTAGTTTAGTTTCAGTCAGATCCACCGGCCAACACTTTCAAGAAGGAACTAAATATTTACCTGAAAACATACCTCACATATTACAACACTTCAATTGACCTACTATCCTTAGTGACGACGGATAAGTACTGTTTTGTACAAAGTCCAACAGTTGTTTATTTGCATCGTTGTCAAATTGACGATCACTAAGCCCGTTATTTAAACATGAGGTCAGTTGTCGTATTCCTGTTTCACCGTTTATGTAGTCTAAGAAACCCACCTCATAGAAATAAAAAAGTTACTTTTGGTTATTCAATAGTAATAGGTAAAAATTCGAGTGCCTAGAATGGTGGTGGTGATTTGTCCCAGCCCAATCTCGTGTTTCGGGTCTTTCCCCCAAGTCAAGTACTCTCCCAATCAACCAACAAAAGGGAAATAAAGGCGAACAAAGGGGAAAGTGCGTTGGAAAATAAAGGGGAAACGCAGCAGATTGTCCGCTTTTTTGCCTGTCCGGGGGAAATAATGCGGACTTTCCACTTTTTGTCGCTCAAAAGTCGCCGAATTGTCTATTCTCACCTAAATATCCTCTAAATTGTCTATTTTTGCCTAAATATACTCCGAATTGTTTACTTTTTGCCTAAATGCACAACGAATTGTCTACTTTTAAAACACCATTGGCATAACCCCAAAAGTCTCCTATGTTCGCCTCTATCCCCACACTAAAACTGCAGTCCACGGGAAAAATGGTATATGTTTAAATAAATTTATTGAAAAGGAAAAGCGTATTATTGTACAACATTACAGCAGAAGCTTGAGCATCAATTGTTGTGCATTTTTATTGTAATTGCCAATTCACTGTTATTTGAAAAGATCTGCAAAGGAATAAACAGATAATGTATTATTAATAAGGCATGTGTATTTAGTCGCAAGTCCACTGACAATCAAACTCAATTTCTCAACACTTAAATAGTTTCCCATGTAAGTAAGAAAGCGAGCTCATTTACAAAATAAAGTTTTATGGAAAAATAAGTAGAACATAAAGAACATTTCACGGATTACTTCCTTTAGCCACGCATGTTCGGCTATTGAGAATAAAAATAATCTTCCTGTGAATTTTGAAGTGTAAAGAACGAAAGAAGTTACAACGATATCTGAATGACATGCTCTGGCACAGCCAAATACTTGAAGCTTCACTTACGGTTATGTTTGTTAACACTTGACTGTAACTATAGAGCAGTAGGGAGGTTAGCACTTTGAATTATTACATACATGTTCTTGTCCCCTCCTATTACGCTTTATCAATTTGTCTCTGACGTCGTGAAAATAACCTTGTGTCGCGATATCGTGCAGTTTCGCAAGGTCTTTTTCGTTGACAGATGATGACAAAAAGCGATTGGTTAATGCACCTGAAGTTTAAATAATAGATACAGGTTACTTCGTATGCAGCCGTAAAACCGGCATTTATGAAGTGCTCGTTTTAAAGAATTGCCAAGTAGTGTGAAATTACTGGTAACCTCAGGTGTCATGAGGTACAACAAAACATCGCATTGACGTTTTAGGATCATTATCCATTAACCTCGTTACCATGGCCATCTGTAATGCGAACAAATTATAAAATTAGTGTTGTTGACTTACGAATCTGTCCCTGGTTTCTTTCTGCTGTAAACCAGTGTCCAGCATCTGCAATTCCTCTTCAGGTGACAAAGGGAACTGCTGACTTGATAGTCCGCAGTCGAATTGATGCGGATGTTCGCGTTCACTGAACTTCACTAGTAGCAGCTTTATATTTGTACTCAAGTCAGTAATAGCTGATGACATGTTCTGCATCATTGTATACAACCTATCAAATCTGAAAAACTTCACTTGATCGTACAGGTGACTTACTGGGCCGTTGAAGCACAGCCTACACGCTTAGATTCTAATGTTGACGGTGGTGTATCTAACTGTGTCGAACTACTTCATTAACATCTAAATAGTAATGAAACGTACTTGGCAATTGGAAAGGCGACTATGTCAAACAACCGAAATTTCGGATATTGTACGTGGCTATTTCCAGCCTGCATTTCGGCAACATCCATGTTTACTGAATTGTAAAGAAATCCTTCTTTACGCTTCAATGCACCTCTAGGAAATGTTAGTAAGTTTATTGTACTGACCTTGGAGTGTTTTTGCGGTGAAGTTCCAGTATTTGGAGGGAAACTAACATATCCTTTGCAGACTACAGAGAATCTATAGTAAATTGTAGTTTTTATGTTTGTTACTCACCGAATTGGTGAATTACTTCACGTTTCAGAACTGACCAATTGTCATCTGGTCAGTCGCAGTTTTGCAGGTGGATATCGACCAGCTCCGTTGGAAAAAAGGCTAAGTTCTTTGCCAACAATCCACTGCTTGGCTGCTATCATTAGTTGTTTCTTGCTAGGAACGTCAACAATGACGTATTGTTTGTTAGCGGGCTAAACATAACATAAGAGGTAATGAAATAGTTTCTGATCATGAATTAAGCACAAATAAAACAAAACACATTCACATAAAAGTATGCAACAATGGAACTATAACTAAATAATTGATGCAATTAATGGCTATACATTTACAGTCAATGTCCTTAACCGATACCTGTGTGTGTTCATGGCTAACTACGGAGCACATAAATATTCCTATATCACTGGATGGGAAAGGATCTTCGAAGTAATTTCGTGGGTCATCGAAAGATCTAAATTTTTTGTAGTCCATCCTCCCCTATATCAGTAACTAAACCAGGCTGTCCGTTTACTACTACAACATTATCAGGCTTAAATGAAGTTAATTTACTATTCTTAAACATAATTACTTGTTTATTGGAGATTAATATTATTTATTATTATTTGAACACATGAATATTGGTACAAGAGAGCGCCAATATATATGCGCCACACAAAACAATGAGAATTCGAAGAGAAATATAAAAAAAAACTAAGGAGCGCAAAAGAAAAAGAGAACAATAACGAAGAGATTGGTGTAAGGTAGTGTGGTAGTAACAAGGGAACGGAAAGGTACAGTCAGAAGAAATCTTTCAGGCAAGGGAGACACAACCACTTTTTATGGAGAAAGTAAAAGAAGGTTACAGCAGGATTGCCACTGGCTTCTATTCTGAGCCATATCTGATAACGTCTCTAGCCACTGTGTAGCACCATCTCTCGGACCCCAACCAGGGAGTCGTGAAGGACCGACAGAAGCCAGTCCTTTGCAGCTTTCTTCCATACCACGACACCATGTCATGCACTGACCACCTCTCCGCTTCTTCCAACCAGTCCCAGAGTCGGCAAATAATGCACAACGTGGAATTCTCTGGGACGACATTCGTAGAACATGTCCAAGCCACCGAAGTCGGTGTTTCAAGATGGTGACACCAATTGAATTATCATCTCTGTGCCCGAACACACGATGCCGAACCTCTGCATTACTGACATGGTGTTGCCACTGAATGTCAGCAATCCTTCGGAGACAGCGATGATCGAACACAGAGAGTCGTCTAACGTCCTCAACTCGGAGAGACCAGGTTTCACAAGCATAGAGCAAAACTGCTCTCACCGACGCGTTGTAGATCCGACCTTTTACAGCCAGACTAACATCACGAAGGCGCCAAAGGTGGCCCAGATTGGCATAAGCCGCTCTGGCTTTCACTATTCGTGCATTGATCTCATCACTCACACCCCCACCAGCACTTATCCAGCTACCCAGATACACGAACTTCTCGACTACGTCTATCTGCTCACCATCCAGGGTGAGTACAGGATTGGAATCCTGCCAGTCTTGTAGAAGTACTTTGCACTTCGAAGGTGCAAAGCACATACCATACCTACGAACACTGATTGCCAACTGATTAAGTGCGGATTGCATGCCTTGGGCATTATCGCACAGTAAGACAATATCGTCCGCATACTCTCGACCTTGAATATGCGGACGATATTGGTGTAGTATTAGTTAAACAGCTAACTTGAAGCCTATCTCAGAAGGACATTTTCTCAGCATAACGCTGAGCTGCTTGCTTTGCAACAGCATGTAAGACTTGAATGGAAAGGCTGAAAAACTATTTAAAGTTCCATGTGCACGAACAACGTCAGGAAGGTGCTGTAACGAATACACATTGTAAACTAAGTTTTCAGACCCATAACACCATTCCTATTCCTTACGAAAGTTTCGTAAGTCCATTCTGACGGATTCTACACCTGTATCATGTAATTTAGGGTGTGCAAGCAGATAAATGGATAACGCTAAACGCCGGAAATTAAGATACAAAAGTCGCATTTAAATGCGACAAAAACTCTAAATTTCTCCAGGTTTAGGATTTTTCCCCAGAATTTTCTCAAAATCGGGAGATTCAGTTCAAGCTACTTTCGGGGTGGTGAATTGTTGTGTTGGTTCAAGTCCCAATGAAAAGGTGACGTGCTTGCTGAAGTTCTGTTCAGCCTTCTTACCTCAAAGTTTTTCACTCATCTAAAATAAAAGTTAGTTTTTCACCTGGTGTAAAGACTCACTTATTGGAGTTGTGCAGAGCGTAGAATATTGTCCCTCAATCTTTCATCATCCTCGATGCTAGCAGATCTTCGGAAACGTATGTCGTTATATAGTCAAATATGTTGTGAACTGCTCTAAATGTTGCTAGTAATCCGGAAGATTCTGTCATGTTTGAAGTTGTTTAGCACTTTTCTGGATTATTCTACTATACATAAAACTGGTAACTACCTACTCCAAAGACTTATAGACAACGATTAGTTTTATTTCTCGACGTAATAGCTATTAATCTACTACTTTGGTGTTAAGGGTTAGCTAATAGGTTTCCAATTCAAAGAGGACACCATATTTTAAGTTCGTTGAATAGGAAACTTTTTCATGTGACTCAGTCTAGTCGTATAGAGATACATGCTTCAGATTTATCAATAAATTAAGTATATGGTCCTTATTAAATATTGCTGAACTAAATGGCTTTTTGAGAACTGTCGTGGTTGATTTCTTTTACTATTATTGTTAGAGAATGAAAGTACTGCAATATATTATTGACCCTATGTTTCTTAGCTGATGACTTTTTGTTATTAAGGCCAAGAGGAAGGAAGTTTTTAATTTCGACACCTGTCAGAAATTCCAAGTCTAACAACGACCCCCAATCTCTGGACAAGTCAAATAGACTTCACACATTGTCAATTATTGAGCAAAGTACTTTAAACCATTCAGGTAACGACGACTATCCTAACCTTTCTCAGGCAGTGCTGAAAATAGGCAGACCTCAGGTTGCTTCTTTGGTCTACCATTACGTGTAAAAGAGTTATTTCATGAACTTCGAGGTGTGACGAAATTGTATGGTAAGTATGGTGCGTTCACTTTCACATACCACTTAACATTTAGATGATGTTTTTCTAAATAAGTCACCATAAAGTATTCCTGAACTGTCATGGACTGTTTTTAACTGTATTGTGGAAAACCTAACTTGATAACTCAATAGCAACACAGATATTTTCACTCGGTTTTGAAACACGCTTTGTGTGTTAGTATTTATCTTACTGCTGAATCTGTGTTAGATTAAGTTAGGTCTGAGCTCGTAACGATATATTAGCAAATCGAAGGTAAAATCTAATACTCCACCGCTCTATATCTACAAATATATGTGTATTCCGCTGGAGACTGGTTGTATGTTACTTTGGTTTTCAAATGGATTAGGTACTCCAAGCTGTTTACAATTTAAACAGCACAACTTTATTCTCCAAGAGGATTATACATGCACCAGGGACCTAGTTAGGCCTAAAAGCCATAAAAATTATTTACAGTATTTACTTCTTATAAACCAAGTCTAATGGATGCTTATGAAACTTAGCAATTTTCTGTGAATTTGTGGTCTAAAATATAAGTCGCTTTTTGTTTTATTTATTCTGTAGTTTGCTATACATATATACAAAAGTTTGGTTTAAATAATGGTTGTTGTTCAGTTGTATGATAATTCTAAGCACCTTTTTACCTTTACTTGTCTCTGCTCCCATTTTCGTCTAAACATTGATTACCAGTCAGTCGTTATAATCATTGTAGAAACTTTTTTCAACATTCCCTTAATCCCTCTCCACTCACCATAACGTTCAGAGCTCTCTAAAATGAGTTTTCAAACATGTTGCTTCAGTAAAAGCTACCGAAATCATCTGTCTATCATTTTACTTTGAGGTTAGATGTGGATACCACTGACGTTTTTAGAACATATTGTAATGACTCATAATAATATGTCCATCGTTGAGTCGTTGTTGAGTATCATTAAGTCAGACAATATCTCCTTGTGAATAAAGTTGCAATTTGTTAGAAGTGATATTTTGTTCGACCATCGTTGAGGTAGATTTTCTACATTGTTTTTCCTGGAATGGAATAACGAACTTTCCACCTAAGTGTATTTCTACCTACCAAACTCTAACTGATCGAGCTGTAAAATCACTTTTCAAACCTTACCTCCGATCCTGGAAATCTGCAGAGAAAGAAAAGCGTGGTACCCTTAAAGCGGGTATTTTATATCCGCTAATCTGAAACAAGGAAGAGCAGTTGGTCCAGATGTCTTTAAGGATGATTGTATAGTTTTAGAGCCTAGGTTGACTAATATTTTAGCTAAAATCTGGAAGTCGAACGTAATCCCATCTGATTGGTCGCAAGCACTGATTGTCCCAATGTATAAGAACGGGTCAAAACCATCCTGTGATAACCGACCATAGAGGAATTAGTTTGACTAATATAGCACCTAAAATACTAGCTCCCATAATTATCGGACGCCTAACTAAAACTCGTCAGCTGCAATCACGAGAAAATCAGGCCGGTTTCAGACCTGGTCGTGGCTGCATCGACCACATATTCACCATTCGCCAGACTCTAGAACACAGGAATGCTTATCGGCGTCCCACAATGATGGTCTTCCTTGACTTAGAAGCGGCATTTGACTGTGTAAATCGAGAGGTGCTGTGGCAGTGTTTGTCATTGAAGGGTGTACCTCAAAAGCACACAAACCTCGTCAGGGCTCCTTACTTAAACACTACCAGGCCAGTGAGAGCTTATGGAGAACTGTCATCTGATTTTACAACCTCAAGTGGTGTCCGGTAAGGCTGTCCACTATCTCCATTTTTGTTCAACTTCATCATAATCCTACTGCTAGAAATAACGTTCTCGTCGTCTGAATTTTTGGGTATTGATCTCCTACAGGGAGGTTCACTTATCGACTTAGAATATGCAGACGATATAATCCTGTTTGGTGAAGACGCTGAAAAATGCAGTCTTGGTAGCACTGAGCAACAATGCCAGAATGTTTGGGATGTGTCTCTCCCCTTCTAAATGCAAGTTGCTCCAGGACTGGCCTGTGTGAACACCTGAACTGATGATAGGGAGTGAAGTAGTCAAACGCTTCGACAACTTCACTTATATTATCTTGGAAGTTTTATCAGCCCTAATGGGTTGGTGTCTGACGAAATCTCTGCACGGATTTGGCTTTTGCCAACTTTTGTCACCTATGGCGAAGGCGAAATATCCGTCTATCAATTAAAGGAAGAGTATGCTACTCAGTAGTTAGTTCTGTTTTACTTTACGGTTGCGAAGCGTCGCCATTAAGGGTAGAGGATACTCGTTAGTTACCATTATTCGATCTCAGGTGTCTTAGAAATATTGCTCGCATCTGATGGGAACACTGAGTAAGTAGTAGTGAGGTAAGACACCAAGTATTAGGGAATGATGGTAAATCAGTTGATGAGGTTGTGGATCTTCATCCACTGAGATGGTTAGGGCACGTATTACTCATGCCCAAGTACTGACTACAGCGGCGCTCAATGCTGACTCATGTTAGAGACAGATGGCAGAAAGTTAGGGAAGACTGAACCGAAACGCGGTATCAGTTGATGAAGTCACTGACTTTTGATCTGAGCCATGTTGGTAGATACAGGCTACTTGAAGTCTGCGCGAATATCGTAATGAATGGTTGGAGACTCTGGGTGCATGGCTCAGAACGGATCACAATGGCGTAGGTGTATATACTCTTTGTCTTTCCTTAAACCGTGGGATTAAAACTGCTTTATACCTTTCTTTCTACGAACTAACTACTATTGAAGTAACCACTGTGAATTTGGTGTTCATCTTGTTGTGCTAATGAGGTGTGGCAACTTGGACCAATGCATATATGTGCCTGGTCCTACGTTTTAGACTATTGAGTGACTGAAATCCAGTTCAATATCAGGAAATGGATCCTATAAATTATCCTAATTACTGTCCGTATTTCAGAATCAGAATAACACTTCTGGTTTTTACTTATTATTAGTTATTTTAAAATTGGTCCTTCTAGAGTCATCTCCAGATCTAAGACTTAAGACATAATTATGTTAATCAAATAATTTCCTTATGCATACTAAATGTATTCTTGTTTTTTAAATGCTAAGACTCGATCTTTGAATTGAAAGGTTCATGATATTAGTATCTCACCCAAGAGTTGTGCAGGGCTTAAACATAAACCCGAAAAGTGCTTACAAAGTATACGATGATGTTATTTTGTTACGTTTCACATTTATCAGACCGACTAATCATCGTGGGTTGATATCATTGTTGTTTGAGTTGAAAATTGAAGTCCTTAATTACTTCAAACCCTCCTGATATTCTAGTATGTGTAATTACATTATTTGTTTTTAGTAACTCAAATTGCATTCTGTGTAGTAAACTTACTGAATTATCTCTATGCATTCATTGGATCAAAAATGTTTACAGGATTGATTATTCGTGATATGTGTTTCGGGATAGCTAACCAGTCGTTTTTCACTATCAATTTACTTTGATGGTTTGCAGCTTGTCTTACGATTGGTTTTGAGAAAAAAAAAGAAAATTCAACCACACGAAGCCCAAATAACTCCCCTTATTTATCGGTCAGTTTTCAATGAATATTCCTCAGCCACTAGCTAGTGTTCCGACTAGTACACTTCGTCATATAATTTTGTTACCAGACAAGTACTTCTTTTCGGCTACCGTTTCATTGAATGTATCTTCGATTTAAAGGTCGGCTTAGGAATAGTAAATTCAGGAGAGTATGCTACCTATTCGCCACTATAAAATAATTTCTAAATTTCCGTTTTTTAGGAAATCTGTTTGACTCACTGCTTACTTGCTATTTATCCTTTTTCCTTTTTAAAAATCACTTTCTTTAATAGACTGGCAAGTAGAGTGTCTGAATTTAACAGCCGTAGCAAATGGGTCTAACCTGGTGTATAGTTTACCTACAAGTGGAGGGAAAACTTTAGTCGCAGAAATTCTTATGCTCAAAGAACTTCTGATTTATAATAAAAGCGTGCTTTTTATTCTACCATTTGTATCAATAGTTCAAGAAAAGGTATGTTATCCAGTTATGTTAAAATCATGTCCACCCAAACATGAGATTCATACTCTTATCGTCCTGACATTTTTAATTTCACCGGAAAATCCGTTTTTTATATGTATGTTCAGATCCAATTATAACCTACTAACCCAATGAAAGTCATTGTTTTCGAAAATGTAAAAACATTCGTCCATTAATGTGACAGCTACTGTTTTTAACGTCAGATTTTCCTGCACAGGTCATGTTATTACCATTCCCTGTTTTATTCAGTCAAAGTACAATCAATAATTTTAAAGACTTTTGTGCTCGTTTAAGTTGTTACAAAATATTATGGACTTAAAATACTGGGTCTTATTTCGGAGATAAAAATTAATTAATTAATGATGCTCTAACGATTAGGACGTGTGTAATATATGCCTAATTACCACTTCCGTGCACGGTTTTCCTTAAATTTGGGCTGGAGTGAAAAAGGCACAAGTGAGTCGAAAAAAAAGCTTGTGTAACTCTCGGCAATCAGTTCGGGTCACATGGGGCTTTGTGTTTTAATATCTATGGTACAAGAAGGACTTGCTGGTGAAAATTTACTCAGTATAGCAAATGTATGAACCTCTTTTTATCTGCATATTCTGATAATTTTGCTATCTTATGAAGCATTTCCCGTCTTTGTTTACTTCTTAAATAGTCTCTTTATTATCAGTAAGAAGCTATCGCAAAAATCTATAAAACTATGGGATATTCTCAAAATATGTAAATGGTTAACTATCGCATAAATTTAATCTCATCCTGAACCCGATTAATTTACTAATATATTCGTTCTAAATCAAACGTTCCAAACCTCCATACTTTATTGAGGATAAAATTCTAATTGTATGAAGATAGGATAAAACCAATCTTCTGCTTGCTCGTTAGAGTCATCGATGGACTTATTTTTATAACTTATGGTTGGAAGTGTGGACTGTATAACAACTTAGGATTTTCAGCCAATGAATGCAAATATATTTGTGAAATATTTGTCATACTTATGCCGAACAAATTTATCTGTTATAAAATTTTTCATAGGTTCGATCACTTACACCAATGGGTCTAGAACTTGGATTTTGGGTAGAGGAATATGCCGGTAGTCGTGGGCGAATCCCTCCAGTTAAACGTAATGGATCATATTCTGTTTTGATGGCTACCATCGAGAAAGGGCATACTATCGTAAATTCTTTGATTGATACAAAGAGATTGGATAGTCTGGGATTAGTCATTGTGGATGAGGTGAGACAAATATAGCGATTTTAGTGAATTACTTGAATAAATGATTTTATTTATTTCCGATTCCATGTTATACATCCAGTATTAATGTTAGATTAAATCTACTAAGTCTATGCATTTTCAAATAATTTGTCTCTTTTTAGTGTAAGGGTAGTCATCCGATTTATTTATTTAAACACATAAACATTGGTACAAGGAGGCACCAAACAGATATGCGCCACATAAATCATTCGATTTGTGTGAGGGCTGTGATACTGCCCGGGTGCCCAGACCGAAGCAGGTGGTTATCTTAGGGGGCCACACCCCGAGCCTTCGACTTGAAGGTCTGACCCACAAGGCAGTGGAACATCGTGAAGAGATGCAGTACCATGGTAGCCGGTAACCAACGATTGTTTCATACGCCATTTGTTCCCTCAGGATACCGAAGCCCATGTGCACAATTGGTTTGGAATTCGATTAAAGCGCCGGACATTCGCTTTTCGTCCTCTCAATTTCGTAAACAACACCCCGCCACGAGAAGGCAATGAGTAGGACTTCCCTGGCAGAGACTGTATACGCGTGGCCATGTGAGAGCATTTCGAGAGGGAGGGCGGGCCCACCCCATTCTCGGCCATACCAGGGCATTTGGGGGTGTAAGGGTAGTCAGTAGCATTATTTTTGTTATTGGGATCAAGCACTAGATTTAATCTATATAAATACCACATTATTTTCAAACTACGTGTTTATGATTTAGTGAGTTATGATTTTAGATCTAGTTATGCGAGTTAGTCTTCAATATTATTGAGTTTTCATTTCAGGAGTATTGACGACCTGTTAGAGATGTTGAATTAAAGAAAGAATAGTGATTAATAACTTATAGTCACTATTATTTATTTGGTTTGTATTAGCTTGTGGTAAACTCTAGCCATAAGATATAAAAATCAATTCGTGTTTGTTTAGAGACTATCGGAAAGACGCCTCATTCACGTAATTCTTGCTGGTTGGCATGTATTTCCGAGATTTATTATCAACCTCAAAGAGTCTCATTCTCCCTCAGAGACTTTCAATTGGGTTACCCTGCATTGCCAACAAGCACCGAACTTAGATTCAAGGCTTCCTGTCGTGTTCTTCAAACCACCAAATGTCGGTCACAATGGGAAACAAATCTCAATCACTCAGTGTACTGATGGTCACATGGCACTCTTTGTCGATAGAATTCAGTTAGCTCTAAGTACTGTAGTAAATGATATTAGCTAGTGTCCTGTGACCAGGTATTGTCATAGGCAATTTAATTAGTTATACAGGGTCATTCTGTTCCATCCAATCCTTTTAATATAGATAAAAGTTACGCAATTTGTTTATATGATTCGAGTAGCAAACTAAACAGTCATTATTAAACTCTTAATTCTGGGGCCGTTACATTTTCGGCAATTCTGTTACTAAATGTCATTTAACATCGGCCAAAGTTTCCTATCTTCTTATTGTAAAGAAGCTGTTCAAAACTACTCAATATACTCTCATCCATCTACTTTAGACCTGCTGCATATCAATTTTTTACACTCAGAAGTCAATTGAAGTGCTAATAAGGTTAAAAAGTAGTTTGCTTCAGTGTCAATACTATTTTTGTCTTCGTATGAACCCCATATTATTACGTTAAAATGTATTTCCAAAATTCGTTAAACCCCTGTTTATCTAAGTGGATCTGTAACTAATACTTACTTTTTCTTTAGCTGCATATGATTGGTGATGGTGGGCCTCGTGGTGCATGCTTAGAAATGATCCTTACAAAGTTACGTTTATCTTCTCGTAAGTTTTATCATTACATGTTATTAGTGTGTTTGTTGTCTTGTTTATATTATTTCTGCAGTACTCCGATGATCCTAATGATACCTCGTACATTTAGTCTATATAGTTTTGAATGCCTAATCGGTTGCATTAGTATAATACTTACTTTTGTAGCCCAGAATTTTTGCCGCCAACGTTTTTGGGCAATAGAGTAAAGTTAGAAATAACTAGCTCTATGACTGTACATATATTTCCTCTATTTAAGCATAAAATTAATTTATATACCACTTCATAGCATCTAATATCTCGTTTTCTCTTGGTCGGAATAATGATTGCAGCTGCAATTTAATAGGACGTTCAGCCCCATCCGTAGTTATCAAAAGGACTTTGAAGATCGGTTACAATCTTTACTTGCTTACAATCCTACCACCTTAATACTAACATTTTAAATGGCTTTCAAAGCGTTATTTTACTACAAGTCCATACATTGTTTATTAATAAGCCTTGGCAATTTAGAAATTTTCTTTTAGAATCTCTTGTATGGTTCCTCTGTCTTTAGACTTCCTCGGTGAGGTAAATGTACATAATGTACTTTTCATTTAGTACATCTAATCCTTTTATAATATATTTCGTAAGAGCATCATACACATAGATGCTTTATGGATGTTAGATAAATAAAGTTTTTTTTCACACAGCATTTTATCCTTAGTCTCTTCTTTGTAGCTACTACTCGGATTATTGGTATGAGTGCAACCCTTCCCAACATCTCTGATTTGACCGACTATCTAAGTGCAGAATTATATGTCAGCAATTTTCGTCCAGTCAAACTAATTGAATACGTAAAAGTTGGTGATCATCTATATGAGATTACTTCTACGAAAACATCGCATTGTACATCTGAAGGAAATGATTTCACTGATAGACTTGTTCATTGTCGTATGGTAGATTTCCAGGTTTGCTTCAAGTTTTTATTTTATAAATTATTGTTAACCCATTGTAATAAAAAGTGTTAATAATCCCTTTTTGAGGGTTGATAATCTAACAAACATTTTAGACACAATTTACCACTTCATGGTATATCTGATACTCTACTAATACTCTTGATAATTGGTTAACATATATGAATGTGCTTTTCTACCCTGAAACATTTTTTGGTGAATGAAGATAGGTTTGTGTTGCTTCATGATCATATTCAACTTCCAAAAGTGGGATACTGTACGTGAATACAAGTCATATTTGTTTCCCCAAATTTACAATAAAATTATGGTGTATTTGATTTGACGGGAACTTACATAAATTGAGCGTTAGTAAATTTATCATGTTAACGTTATCATATACGGAAAACAATCGACTTGTAAAATATCTAACTGAAGTGATTAAATATGTTTACTTACTTTCAAAGTGAAATATTGACTCTCAGGTGCACCACTTTACGATATTTTCGTAAAGCGTTTCTGTAAAGTCTATCTAAAACTATGATTTAATAATTTTATCAGCTATAAAATTGTTCATTTATGCAAATTTCAAGTTGTAGTACTCAGTATTTTTTTACTCACGGTTGCTACGTAATTCTGTAATTCAAACAACCATAATTATTTTATTAAATATTCCAACAATAGAGGATCATAAACCCAATATGTTTCGATTTATTCTACTACTCATTCCCCAAACTTGTTAAAATATATTGTGTATCTATCTTGAAGTAATTGACTTTTCTTTTGAAGAGTAAGGTGCTACTCGAATTTATATTGTTTTACTTATAAAACGTTCAGTTTTGCATGCTGGCCATGTCAATCGATATATACATTGCTATGTTTTGCTTTAAAAATTCTATTTCCTTTTTTCATCATTTTAGTATACAAAAAAGATGCTTTCTAGAGATCCGGACCACTTAGTTGCCCTAGTTGCAGAAACGTTACTTGGACATTCAATGATTGATTGGTGTTGTAACAGGTTATTTCATCCCTCATTTACTCGATCATCTAAAGAAAGGTTTTCTTGTTTAGTATTTTGTCCAACCAAAGTACATTGTGAAAATACAGCTAAAATGTTAGCGGAACTCCTTCCTATCACTGCTTGTTTTCCTCACTCAAATGATGAAGATTATATAACCGAGAACAATCTTGTTGAACAAAGATCAATATTGTTAGACAATTTACGTCTCGATTATACAATTGAAAACAAAGATTTAAAGGGAGGAGCTCAAACACATTGCCCAGTTTTGGAATATACAGTTCCTAAAGGGATAGCTTATCATCACAGTGGGTTGACGCAGGAAGAAAGGAGTGCACTAGAAACTGCCTATAATGAGGGAGTAATCCGAGTGCTGTGTTGCACATCTACATTAGCTGCCGGTGTTAATCTACCTGCTAGGAGGTAACCCATTTTTTGAATAGTGATTGTAGCGTCACATTCTTTCTGTCTGTTATCTCCTGTAATAATTTTATCGATTGAGTGGAGTTATTTTTCTCAGACCATTTCTTCGGGAGTGCTCTGGAAAACTACTGTATGCAGTATTCATGAAGTAGTCATGTTGTTGGTTATTTATTGTTTTTTCTGAAACAGATCAGTCTTAAATCACTAAAGTACAATTATTCATCTTAATGTTTTACCATCTAATCAGTTAGTCGAACTTAATAAAAAGCAAGCATCTTTAAAACAAGAGAAAACCTACCCAATTTAGTAATTTATTTTTATTTATTATAGAGTAATCATTCGCAAACCTTATGTTGGGAGTTCTTTTTTGTCCAGTACTCAATATCAGCAAATGGTTGGACGTGCTGGTCGTGCTGGTTTGGATACTGTTGGTGAAAGTATTACAATATTGCAACCAAATGAACGACAAAATTTTGCTCATTTGTTATCTGATATATCAGACCCTGATGACACTAAACCACGTATTGGAACAACTGGTCTATGTAGCAGCAGCTTATTGTATGAAAACGGAAAGGGTCTACGACAATTTATACTTTCACTTATAGGTCTTGAAGTAAGTATCTGTTACATTATATCATTTTTCAAACTTGTTATATTTGTGTGGCAACTTTCAATCGCATGTGTGAATTAGCAGCTAATTCTTTAAACAGTCAATTACTTTCCTAGTTTAGTATTACCAATCACTAAATGGTACCTTTTTTATAAACATAACTCTCGTAGATTCATTTTTTGTGTCTCTACTAATGTACGGTATGTATAAGCTTATTGTTAGTTTTCGCTTATCAACTATTACTTACTGTATTAATTTGCTTTTAAGAAATAATTTTTTCTGGCTCTCTCTCTCTCTCTCTCTCTATATATATATATATATATATATATATATAGTTTTTATTATAAACTAATCTAGCCAATCCGCAATCAGAAAGTTATGCAGTTGTCCAATCGTACCATCCCGCCTTGGTATTCTAGGAATTCCTAGCGGGTTCTGATTGGGTGGAATCTCTCCGGCTCCTTTCGACCCTCTGGTGGCTTCCGCGTGCTTTCTGGGAGCCGTTCCAATAGTGTTCAACTTAACTTCTTGAAGTGAATGTGAATGACCGATTTACTTCAGGATTCATACTTTTAATCAATTTGCGTTCTCAATCACCATTGACACCATTAAAGACATATACGTACTTCATTTACCGTTGTATTGCTTTCATATTCAAATGGTTAGTCGTTAACTGATTATTATTTATATTGCTGTATCCTAATTATGTATGCAGCATAGAGTTTTATTACCGAAGAGTATCAGGTGGTCAATATTTTATTTAAAAAGTACGGTTTAATATATTTACTCTCCAATTAATGTTGTGTAACTTTTAATTATATAGTTGGCCACAACTTACCCAGATATTATTTGGTCATGTGAAAAAACGTTATTAGGTGTACAGTACCGATTACATCAACGCGGAGATTTCGATGACCTAGTTCGCACTGAATTGAATACGCTGATTAAAATGGATCTAATTGTGGTTGTGTCAATTGATGCATATCTCAGGAAAACAACTTCAGTTTCAGAAAATATTGAGTTGGAAAAAGCTCGATTCCAGGTATTTATTTTACAATTTGAAAAAGTTTGTTTCACCGAATAATTCCTTATTGTTGTTAACATAAAACTAAAGATGCTACCAATAGCCTGTACCCTGTAGTGTAGTATTATGCAAAAAAGCGGATTTTATTAGAAGTAGTTTATTCTGTTCTATTCAAGATAGCGTGAATCTTTCAGTTCTTTTATATTTTCTTAGAGATGAAAGATGTGATCTAACAGTTTTTCAGCTTTGTAACTCAGCTGTCGAGTCATCTTATCAGCTTTCAGTTATCCTTTTGTTTGTTTGAATTCAACGATAATCAATTATTGTTGTTTCTAAAATTAGTGATATTTTAACCATAAATAGATGTGTCTGAAAGGTAAATTCAAAATTATAAAATATGAAAGAGAAAGAAGAAACTGTATTTATAGGAGGAAAGCAATTGGTCAGAGTAATGTAGAATCGTAAGACCTTTTTGACATGTTATTCATTTAGTGAATAAAAATACTAAAGTGGGGTTTCCGCAAAATTTGTTTATTTATTTCAATGATCAGTACATCTCAATTTCCGATTGATGCATGACATTTTTTACAATCTTTGTTAGGCAACTAAATTGGGTAGAGCATCTGTAAAAGGTGGAATCGATACAGATCGTATTGGACCATTAATATCAGATTTTCGTATAGCCGCAAGAGCAGTAAATACAAGTGGTCCATTACATTTACTGTATTTGATTGCACCACCGGATGTTGTTGATACTATACAAATTGACTGGAGTCTTCTTTTTGATCGTATCAGTATCATGCCACAAAATGAAGCTAATTTAATAAGTCTTTTGGGTTTTCCTGAAGGATATATTTTGTGGAAAGCTACTGGCTATCCTATCAAACGAGTAAGTTGTTCTGTTTTTGTAGTTTCATTTCTGTTTACTCATATACATTCTGTGAGTACAACAAGATTGTTTTTAAATTGAATACCTTAATTTATTCTTTGATTTTCCGATGTAAATATTCATACAATCTTCGTCTTCACATTTTACATTTTGACTATCTAACACTGGGGTTAAAAGTAGTAAATAAACAGGATTAAAAAATTTGAAAATATATAGTTGTTAATTCAAATGTACTAAAAAGTAAAACCCATTTTTGGATGATGTAAGAACAATTGAGACAATGAACCATATTCATTGCCATTGATAAAGTTACATCTCATCTCATATCTATATCATAGTTTTACACTTCTTTATATCATCATTCTTTTATATATCCATACAAGTAACATTTGAGATTCGTATATATTCGTTTTAACTTCTAATACCAGCTTAATTAAACTAAACTGAATTTAAAACCTCTAGTACACAAGTAATTAATTTATTACTTACTTCTCTGTTTCGAATTGTCAGGAATAGTGTCTACTTTATTATACCAACTATTGGCTGAATGACATCATTCTTGGAGAAGACATCGTGTAACTGTGATGAAGATACCACTTTTCACTATTTAGTTATTCGAAATGTAATCTTTGATATTTGTATTTATAATTATTGTCCTATAGCCTAGGATAATTAGAACAGTGTTTCTTTATTTGATAGAAGTTAGATGAACGACCTCTTCGTCGATTGTACGTCGCTCTAGCTCTCGCCGAACTATGGCAGAATAGATCAACATTCCCAATATGGTATGTAGCTGAACGATACAAATTTTCACGCGGTGCTCTTCAGTCCACTCTAACTTCAGCTGCATCCTTGGCTAACTCATTGGCTCATGCACTAGCTAGTGAATTTTCTACCGATTCAGAACTATGGGCATTTGCACACCTACTTCCAGAATTCGCCAAAAAGCTGGCTTATTGTGTTTCTAGTGAATTATTTCCGCTGATGGAATTACCAGGAGTGAAAAGAGTAGGTTGATGAGTTTACCTCATCTCATATTTTTCAGGTACAAAGGTTATACATTTCGTCAATTTTATTTCACTTTTCTATTTGCGTCTTGAAAATATCATTTATTCTAATTAGATTTGTTTGATTTTCCTGAGTATGTTTTGATAAAGCTCATCATCCACGTAGTCTAGTCTGTAAACACTAGTTGAATAAATGGAAATAACAAAGTGTCGATACATTTGCAACACATCTGGTTTTTCTAGAGCCGTCCGGGCAAATAGTATGCAGAAATTATTGTTTAAAAGATGCAGAACTATAAGAATTGTTTTTCGAATTCATTGGTACATTAACGCTTTTGATGTCAAATAAACACTTTGGTCTTTTATTTATATCTAAAAAGCACGCTACTTGTGATCTGAATCCAGTTGTTGGAGGTTGAAATACACAAATGTAACATGGTTTTATGATTTGCATGCTTCTGGAGTCGCGTTCGTCTACATATGAGAACTGATGTTTCGGAGTACGTTAATGTTCAAGAAAGATCTCTTTAAGGCTGGTTACACACTATGATACTTCAGTAATTCTATCCGCTCCTCAACACTGGGAAAGTTTAGAGATAGAGGGAAGAAATAAAATCGGTAGTTTTTAAAACCAACCTTTTCCAGCGCCTCTTTCAGAAAGTAAAGATTCAGCATCGGATGGAATGACAGTTACGATATAAATTTTCGTTAGGATATTATTTTTATAAAGCATGCGAGGGTTTTGGAGAATAGGATTATTTTTCGACAAATTTGCTTTTAGGTGCCATCATAAAAAATTCTCCAATTTGAACATTTCGTTCAGTTGATTTGAATAATAATTAATTTATTAATAAAAAGGAACAATCGAATTTATAGTCTACAAACAAAACAGTAAAGCTAAGCTTTTCTTGTTGATTGTGAAGATGACTAATCATCATCATCATCATCATTTCAACCTATGTTTGATTGATTTACCTTACTTTAAAATTTGTTCGAAGGAAATTTAAATAGAACTTCTTGCGATCAAATTCATTTTATTCGACGTGGATAATTTAGAGACTCCTCTTTATTGATAAAAAGTAGCTTTTTTATGCACAAGTAGTGTGTAGCCAACCTATCTTATTAAATTTTGGTTGGTTCGAATTACCATTCAATTATTTTTTGTCCTGCGATTACTGACTGTGTTTATAAAAGATAAATTGAGTCCCTTGATTTTATTGTATATCAATTTCGATGATTCTACTTAATTCACGAGTTATGATCGTAAAACTATTGTTTTGTGACAGTTTTGAATTGTATTTCAAACTTATTAGAAAACATTATGGAATGACGTATCAGATCATTTCTTATAAACAAGATAATTATGATGAACAAGAAGGAGGCTAAAATAATAAATAAAACAGCAGACCAAAATTTTAAAATGACCAAGATTTAGGGGTGTAAGTATATTTGCAGTATTTTGATTTAAATTAATCTATCAAGTTATCTAAAATCTCTTAAAATTTCTCCCAGAAAGCCTACATATTTCCAATAAATACTCAGTTGCCTGATGAATTCACCCTGTTTTAAAATAGCCATAACTACTACCGTGTATTAGAATATTAAATCCCTACATGTTTCAAATGATTATTTCTTTCACTTACTTTTACCAACAGGCCAGAGCCCGACAGTTGTATAATTTAGGCTACTGCACTTTGAAAGATATAGCGTGTGCTAACTCTTCTGATTTAACCAGTCGCATGGCTCCATATATGTCTAAACGGGTTGCAAATGAAATAATACAAGCAGCTCAAATGTTAGTATCAGAGAAAGCTGATGCTCTTTTCCAGGAAGCTAACGAAATGATATCTGGAGTTGGGACAAAAAGTTTGCTTTCTCAGATGGCTGACTACTTGAAGTACAAACCATTTTCTCCCAAATTAGCTGGCTTAAGCAATGTCAATAAATTAAATTTGGTTCATTTGGTGCTGATTTTGATGAAGACGAAGATTTGTTTGAGTGATAATTAAAAAGAATGCCTCAATACTAACATATGTCTAATGTCTAGTCTTCTTATAACAATGAATAATCTCTAAATGCTCTCTGAATGCCTATTGTCTTTCATAATGCAATTTAATTTTTGGTTTGAATTTTTTGTCAGATTACTGATTATTATTGTTCTTTTTATTACAAATGAATGTGATTTTCGAGGAATACAAATTTCTTTTTTGTCAATCTTATTGGGATATTCCATCCTCGAAATCAATCTGCACTACTGCTATACTATCCGCGTAAAATTTGGTCATATGTCGACAAACACATTTAGGGTTTAAATATCGTACTTTTTCACTGTCCACCAAATCACTTAGTTCTAGTTCCAAGTTCGTCGTAATTTCCAACAAATCATATGCTAAGTTTTTAAATTTTACATATTTTATACTTCAAATACAAGAACAAATCGAAACTGAATTTCATTTAGTAAATTTGCATAAAAATTATCTACGTGAAGCGATGTCTGCACGCTAAAAATATACATAAGACAAGCAGACAAGTGTTCCATTGCTAGGGCAAATTGACTAGATCATATATTGAGTGAAAAATTGGAACTCATTAATGATTCTTGCTTAGTGTTACTAGTATCATTATTATATTACATTTTAGAAGATAGAATATTGCCTTATATCGTGCTTTTTATCATTATTTACTTACTGACATCAGTTGGAGAACCACTGGAGATCGGTTAATCCTGCTCAGCTGTTTCTCGTTTGATACCTTAAAAGTGAGCTTTCTGGAAAGAAGCAAAGGATATTTAGTGATTCAGTGGAACAGCTATTAGTAACAATACATTGTTAGCAATATATAAATATATGATACCTGCATAAAAATGCTTTATGTTTTCAGGTATCGTCCCAGTCAAAACATTTGCCCTTTAAGTCATTATTGCGGATATTTAGTAGCATTATAGAACTCAGGCTACTCATGTACCAATCAAGTCTGATCATGTCAGTCTTACTAGCACTAACAGCGTTCAAGTACAAGTTCTGATAACAAGTATCAGTTAAATATAAGCACGTATTGTGATATGATAAGCTTATTGGATACCACAGGAGATGTCTTATCGATTAACTTCATAATCGAACCTCAAGGAAAGCGCCAGCATATTGCGAGATGCAATCAATCTAAAATAGATAAAGTGATAAAAATTGTTTTATAATTAGGCAGAAAGAGGTACTTGGTGTTTTTTATTGACCAGCCGGTATCTATTTTCTGCACTTATGATTAAGGATTTTTACTTGTCAGGATAGTTAAAGTCAGTTGAAGAAACATTCAAAATTAGGAACGATTGGAGGCTATTTCATCCTTATTTACGACTCATCTGCACGCAGTCGAAAGTAGCATACTCCCGTTTAGACTTATTTTTTGCGGTCCAGATTTCTAACCTCAATCAATTCACAGACCACTCATTTACGTCAGATATACCAATTTTACTCCATAGATCACGACTCTCCACTAAAGTAACTTCATCTCGGAGTTATTGTACAGAGCACAAAACAGTTGTTTAGTTTGGACGCATTCTTAACAAAATGGAAATATATTTTACTGTTCTTGCTAACAGTGAGGAATCCATCACACAGTAAGTTCATAATGAACACTGTCAACTATCTGTCTACCAATTAGTGATTTGAAATTGATATGTGGTAATGAAACTGAAATATGATTGGTCATCGAGCCTGGACAGATAGACACCTACTGACTATTAAAGATGTGATTTCCTTTCCTCTTATTATTATTTACCCCAGACTCACTGAGAGTGCTTGTAATCGTATGGAATAAAATACTGTGTACTCTATTCCTGGTCATGAGTCATGGATTTGATATAACGTGACTAGTCTCATTATTGTATGGCGTATTATCGTAGTATACTTAAGAGATAGAAAAATATCTTAAAGCATACGTTTTATCCGAAATCAAGTTACATATACCAGACAGTTGTACGTTCAATCGCCAAGATATCATCTAAGTTCGACTACCTGCAGAGATCAGTAATTATGTAATTGAGTTTCACGCGGAATGCTGTTATTAAGTCTTTTTTATGAAGGTTAATTTTCTAACAGACAACTATCGTTATTAATTTTGCCTGGTTAGTTAGCTGAAAGTGCTCTGTTTGATCCCATCATTTCGGTAAAAGTTAACATAAATACTTTATGAAAATTTACCCTGTATTACTTAAAGTGACTGTGATATATCCCGTTATCCATCCATTTTATTTTACTACTATCCACTTGACGTACTTTCCTGAAACGATCTCATTCCTCGTAATCATTTATTAGTTTTAAATAAGTTATCCAAACGTAAGGCTAAATATTATAGCCTGTATGACTTGATAAATTTCCACTCACGATTGTTTATGATTAGCTTGAACTTTTTATTGGGATGATACGAATGGTAGCAACATATTATGGACATGTATACTTATTGTTTGATGTCGAGGTAGTGTACATATTTTTTCGAACACTTCAAATGATTGTGATATTTTATCGTCGCTCATTCAAATAGAAGCTTGACTTTGATCGGCACTTTTCGTCAATTCGATAAGTGTATTTGTATCGACAGCCACTTCGGAATCCACTATGTTCAGGTGTTGCTTGTGCATCAGATAATAAAGTGGCTAATTTATAGACTTCATGTGCAATCGATGTAATGTCCTTCAGGAAATAGTTTGTGTAGAAACCATACTACATCAAAAGTTGTAATTTTTGTGAAGAACAACTGACGTACAAATAAGAGCTAACTGTCACCTCAGCGTTCTATGTATTTTAAAGATATTGCATTGATCTTAATGAAAGTTCATTTTCAGCAATAGGACTTCTTACTAAATTTATCATTTGTAAGTAAACACAGATATCATCGCTATACTCTCATAGTACGATTGAGTAACTTAGTTGGAGCAATAGTTTTATGCACAAATTATTGTTGCTTGGCTATCTGTTGTAGCCAATATATCAAATTGAACTGTAATCAATCCAGATTAGGTGAATTCAGCATAAGTGTTACATAAGAAAAGGAAATCAGGAAAACAGTACTGTGTCAATAATAATAAGTATTCACTTGGGGATTCTTAGATTGTGTTAAGATTTCTATACACCCAAAAGTCCGATATTTCGTAGACAGCGTATTTTGTCATTTGTGCAAGCGTGGAAACTGACAGCAGCGTGGTATTAATCTTCAGTTCGCATCTGTCGAATTCCTTTTCAATGAAGAAAATGTTACTGTTAGTATGGAGTTGTGGGGATTGTTGGGTCTTATTGAAATCCTAAACCGATCTCACGCAACCGTTGAAAACCTGGAAGTACTGGGCAAATGTTTCATCTTAGTATGGGATTCCTCAGCAGTGTACATCTATCAAGTCGTGGAATAATTAAAGTTAAACTTCCTCACTGTTAGATTTCGGCTTAGTAGTCTGTGTCAAATGTCAGCGCGCGAAACCAAAGACTTTAAATTGGCTCCTGGTTGCACAGTCGTGGGTGCGCCTTGAGAAGGAGTTCCATGTTGGGAAGAGACGGCTATCCCGTCCTCTCAGGTTCCCAATGGTTGTAAAACTTAGATTGTTTCGTAACTTTTAAAAACGTATTCGATGGGCACACTATGGTGTTTTCTAGATATTATACCTTATTATTCCGCCTCCTATTTATTAGAACTATGATTCTTGTATCAGCTTTCCATCATCGTGTCAATACTTTTTATGATATGAATATAAATTCAGTAGCTCATACAGCCCTTACACTTTCACATATTCTGACCTTATAATCACTGTCTTCCGAAAAACTGTGCGTCGTAAAGAATACAGTTACTTTGTTTATTTTAACCAGCTTCCGGAGAGATACTGATATTTGCATAAACTGATGTAAATGAGATATTGCTTTAGTTACTTTAGTAATTGTTTCCAAAATCTTATGTTACATCCACTTCTGCTTCCTAAATTAATGAATTGTACGGTGGGACAATAACTAATACATCCAACAGAGAACCCGTCAGTGGTTCAGAATATCAGGAAAATGTTAATTTAGTGATTAAAGCATGTTGTGGTTGATGTTTTACAATGGTGAAGACAAGTGTAAATGAACGCTCATTCTTTCTATACAAATTTGACAGGTTCTCTACCGAAAATAGTTTCTATATCGCAGTACGAAATATTTTATGACTTGAAAGACAATTTTGTGTAGGCTATGTGTGTGATATTAAACTTTATTGGTCCTTAAGATAATCAAGACCTCGTAAAGCTCAGTTGGTTTTGTGTATGAAGACTTTATCGGTTCAAGTAGCTCTTTTATGTTTAAAAAATCAGACAATCTTCTGGTTTTATTGACTTACAAAAAATTATGGTCAGGGGTTGAAAGACAATATGTATTTTACCCTTCAGTAATTGATGAATCCAAATAAAATTAAAGATCCACCCATCAGAAAGAAGCAAATTAATAGATCTTCATTAATATCATCTAGTCTGTGTAGTCACTGTGATTTTTTGTCATGATTTGAACTTTCCTCACGATTTCCTAAATTGAAACAGTTCTAAATTGGTTATTCATTGTAAGTTTGAGCTGTCTGGAGCCGATGATAAGTTATGGAAATATAATTAGATTATTTTTCAAACCTTGTTGTTCTGGTTTCCCTAAAATTAATAGAAGAAACCTTAAGAACAGATTTGTGCTTAAAATATAAATTCCTTATAACCATCTACAAGTAACCAGTTTTTTTTAAACTCCGATATGTTGAAAACAAATCCTTTTTGTGTATTCAAATAACTTGTCTGATATTTAAAAATTTGGGAACGTTATCATGTAAACAAAATTTTCAATGGAAACTGAAATTATCTTGAAAGAATTTGTTTAAGCGGTCTGAATAATTATCCTCTCTCTAACGTATCCTTTTACTCGGTAATTTCTTTGATAAAGTGTTATATTTGCAATCGTTCATTTAGTTTTATTTGTGAATTGAGCACTGAGTAGAGTCTTTTATCTCCTTTCATTTTTCTGTATTCTACTTTCAATATAATGGCACATGGGTTACAGGAATTTAAAATTGCACTTATTCTTATATTTTAGATATGAAAATACAGATGAATGCATTCTATAACTTATCAAAATTCTAGTTAATTGTAATGGATATGAGACTGATAAAAGTTTTACTAAATCACTCGACTTACTTATATTT